GATATTTTGTTTATTATTGTTTTGAAACTCCAAAAATATGCAACTTTGTAATTAAAACTATGTAGATATAGTGAGTATTAAAAATGTGGTAAACAGAGGCGTTGTAGTAAAGAATAGTGGATTTTTGCAATATTTGAGTTTATATATATATATATATATATATATATATATTCCATGATTGTCACAAATCGCAAAACATCACTTCAAATGCAGAAAAGCGACAGATCAGAGTAAGAAATCCGACAGACGATACAAATTTCAAGCAATGAATATAACTTTGCAAATGTCACTCGTGTGATACTCAAGAAATAACCACATATATATATATATATATATATATATATATATATATATATATATATATATATAATTAAAATCCATTAATATATATCTGTGTCCACCATATGCGGGCGTGACGCCCAATTTCCATCAATCCATCTGCCCAATTTTTTTTCAAGACAATTGATCTTTAAACTTTCTTTCGTACTTTCTATTTACAAGTAATTTATTCCTTGTAGTTTTCTTAATTTAAAATAAAACCATAAAATCATCTAGATAATTAAGACAATAAGATGCGGGATCTTATTATTAAATTGGAATGCGTCACAATAACAAGAACAACATTATAGTTGATTAGTTGGAATTTATTTGATCGATTTGTAATAGATACATGATACGATAATAAATATTGATGAAAATCTATTTGTAAAAATTCAAAGTAAAATGTATCAAAAATTAATTGATATATAGTATCAAAAATCTGAAAATTGATAGAATGATGGTTATCACTTGACAAAACGATCTCGAACCATCACATCAAATCGTATTTGTGTTTCCGTGGCGTAACGCATTTCCGTTGCATTTTCTCTGAGTTACTCCCCTAGTCGCGCCTAAAGAAGTTTTATTTCAAAATTCTGAAAATTGGCAGAATGATGGTTATCACTTGACAAAACGATCTCGAACCATCACATCAACTCGTATTTGTGTTTTTGTGGCGTATAGCATTTCCGTTGCATTTTCTCTGAGTTACTCCCTAGCCGCGCCTAAAGAAGTTTTACTTCAAAAAATGTAAATATTGGAATTTATTCCAAATTCTGTGAAATTTAGCAAAAACGACTTTTTTAGCATTCATTAGCAAATTACCCCCTCGCCAAACATTAAAAAAAAAGATTTTTATATCATGTCTTATAATTCATATCCTTACATCAGATTTTAAAAATTTTAAACTTACATTTTATTATTACAATTTAAATTCAAATTACTATTTTCTCAACTCATCAATTTTTATATCTTTAAAATATTCAAATCACTATTTATGTCTATTAAATATGTATAAAAATTTCCGAAACAAATTGATTTACGCATAATTTATTCACTCAGAGTCGTGTATTAGATAATAATAATTAATTATCGTATCGCTAATGAATTTTTTTTTGTGAATTTGATAGCAAATTCAATATTTCAAGAAGTCATTAGACCCATATTGAGTGAATACATTTACTAATAGGAGAGCTGAGGTAAAATATAAAATGTCACGATGTTTGTCCGGAATGTACTCTTAAATTACTGAACCGATTTTAAATTTTGTTAACTTAAATTGTGCATTTATATTCAACTTAAGTTATAGGTAATAATAAAAATTTGAGTTTATATTTAAAGTATCAAAATTTTAAAAATATCAGTTAATTTTGACAGTTATGAATTCAAAAAAAAATATTCAAGTAAATTTTTATCATTATTGTGAATTGTGATTCTTACGAAGATGACAATTCCAAAAATTCAGGGCAGGTGGCTAGGATGAATTAACATTTTTATAACAGAAAAATATGCAAAAAAAGTAATTCATATAATTTTATTTTAGTTTTTTTTGTTTGTTAGTTTTTAATTTGAACACATTTTTTGTATAAGTTTTATTCGATTTTTTCTCCAATTAAAACAAATATTTTGGAGATATTTTTTACA